GTTCCAGTATTTTTTGATGAAAACAAAGATGTGGGTTTTTTTCCCCTTTCTTTCTCCATACATTATTTGTCAAAGCAAATTAAGCTATGTTAAGGAAAAATTTAAACTCTTTTAGAACTTACCCATGTGTTCGAAGTAGCAAAGGTGGTCTCTGAATTGTAGAGAAGGTGATAACATATGATAAACTATTCTGATGCAGTTCCCTTAAGATAGTCTTATACTTAGGATATTGGCTATGCTTATTAAAAAAAAAAATGGTACTGATTGCATTTTTACTTTCCTGTGATGACTTTCATACCAGATGTCTCCAGTTTACAAGCCAAAAATCATATGTGAGAATCGATCTGTGTTGTTTCTGCCTCTGATATGCCTCTCACTAAATAAAGGTTTTGGAAGTGGCTGTGGTGGGCAGGTATGTTGGTTGGAGGAGGTCAGAGTATTTCATCTTCCACACCTGATTTTGCTCTGCAGTTCCACCTAGCCTGTCTTCTGCCTGTGTCGTCACCAGGATACATAGATCTCCACAACAGCTCACGGCCACATAGTGTGTCAGCTTATGAAAGCTCTAACCAAACCCAGAAAGTGTTTCTCTGGCTGCTCTGGGCTGTGAGCAAAGCCACCAAAAGCCTTCCTGTGCCTCGTATACCTCTCAGCTCACTAGGCCCTGCCAGGCCTTTTGGGATCCCAGTTTTCTCTACCTTCCGTAAAGCCCTGGAGGTATCTGCAGTAAAATAATATTGCTGCGTTTGATGGAGGGGAGAGGTAAGAACCAGGCCTGAACTTGTCGTTTTTACCAGGCTGTTGTATTGCCAGCATTGACTTAGATGGGTATACGTGGCCCAGGAGAAGAACGGTGAGGATAGGCTTTTGGCTTGCTTAAAGATACAGGGTGAGCTGGGACCAAGGCAGGATGTCCAACTCCCTTTCTTTTCCTTCAGCAGTGGGAAAAAATGGAAGGGGGAATTAATGGAGGGAGACTTCTGATCTAGTAATTTTTGTGATAATCACAGTACCACTAATTCCTTGGAGTAGCAAGTGTCCTAAGGTATGGTGTGTGGTGTGTAGGTGTGCTGCATCCCCAGCTGGCTGCGTGCTGCCTGACGTGGAGATGGTCCCCTCTAGGTGGGAAGGGCTTCCAGGAGGTGAGGTCTGGCGCAGCTCCTTGTCACACAGTCAGTCATGTTCTTGACCTGACGTTTGTTTTTCGTTCCAGCAGTTTTGTTAGGTGTTGATTCCCTTTCCTTCTGGGTTTTAAAGTGGTTGTTCCGAGTTAAATATTTGATGCGATAATGATTTATATTGCTATCAGCAGTAGCAGTAAATCCATAGTGTGCATATAGCTGTTAAGTATTTAGCAGTGTTACTCTGTGTCTTTAGTACTGTAGTTCCTTTTTCTGTAATCAGGCAGCTTTTACAGGTTTTTAATAAGACCTCTAACTTGACAGAGGTTTTAACTACAGTCCTAGGTAGAACGTTCAGGTAGAAAAATAAGTTCATTTATTAATTTTCACAGCCCTTAAAATTCACTAGTAGGAATCTGGAGGAGAGACCTTTCCCTTTTCCCCCAGACTTCAACTTAGTGTACACTGTAAAATCTGCACAGAGATATCTGATGTGCGAAGATTTAATTTTAAAACTGTAGAACCAACAACCTTCTTTAAACATTTTATATTGTGTGCTAAATATTCATATGCCTTTTAAAGTCAGATATAGTCCACTGCATTTCTTGCTTTTGCACTACTGAAGAAGTTTTTTACTGAATACTCTAGGAGTCAATGCTACTTACACTTCAAGTGTGAACCGATGAAATTTGAATAGAAAATATTTTCACAGTGTTAGAAAATTTCATTTTCCCTTCTGAAAAAACAAAGCTGAGCACAATGCCTGTGCCAAAACTCTTGTGCTGTAAACTGAATATATCATTTGTGTGGAACATGCAATGTTACACTTCTGTGTGGTAAAACCTTGCAGCGTCAGTTATTCTCTTTATTGCACTTGACATATGATGTCTTGTTTTATTCACACTGTGGATTTGATTTTCCAGTGTAAAACCAAAGCAAACAAACAAAAAGAAATCATGCGATGTATGCAATTTCCTCGATTGGTGTCAAACTTTCTTTTGATGTGAACTTTTTCCTTTGCTTCTCTTTGTTCCAAACTTCTATTTTGCAATAAACATTTTGACAGTAAATTTTATGCATCCGTGTCCCTGTGTAAAATGCTGGTGTTTCAAGAGGTTCCATATTGTCTGCTGGTTTAAGTCACTTTTTGTATTACTGTGTGACATTTCTCCTTTATTCTCCCATCTTTTTAAAAAAAAATTTGGAATAATACAGAACATACTCTACCACTGGTTATATTTAAACACGGAAAAAGCTGAAAAAATCCATTGTGCAACTGAAAATGCAATACTGAACTTCTGCAGTAAATTATTCAGTTGTACAAATTATTGTACCAGGCTCCTCCCGCAGCACCAGCCGGTTTGACTATAAGAACCTACAAAAGGCAGGACCCACTGCCTTCCTAAGGATGTTTACAATTGCCACTTGCCCTCCCTTGTGCTCAGGTGTTGCCCCCAGCACTACTTTTGTCCCACAGTGTCCTGCCCAGGCTGCGGGTAGCTGTTAGCATAGGGAATGCCTGACTAACAGCAGGTAGGTCGAGAAGATTGGCTGGAAGTATGGTGTAGTAGTGAGAAGAAGTCAGGAAGGTCTCTCTTTCTCTGGCAGACACATCTTCCCTTCTGCCACTTCACCCTGATGCCTTTGGTTGTGTCCCTTTTGGGGAAGCAGTGGGCAAAATGATGAGTTTGAGGGTCTGCTAGGTCCTCCTCACAGAGGTGGCTTCAGCTGGTCTCATGGGTGGTTTGTGCCCAACAAGGCTTGACTGAAGTATTGGTGGAGGAGGAGGAAGAGGATCTGAAGAGTCCTCAGAGTGGGGTGGGCAGCAAAAAGTCATATTTGCAGAAGTCAGGGGGAGGAGGCAGAAGTCAAGGGGTGTTTGGCAGTCACAAGTCCTTCAATGGGAGGTTCACGTGGATGCTGCAAAGGGTGTTTCGCAGTGATGGCTGAAAGTCGTGGGTGGATTACACTCGACCCTGCTCTTGTGCATGGAGGGCCAGGGAAGCACTTAGTGGGCAATTCTGCCCTGGCGCTCAGTGTTCAGCTGGAGGCAGGCAGGGGTGAGTGCCTGCAGGGGGGGGCATGCTTGGCCTGTGGGTGGGGGCTGGAGAGCTTGTGGGTGGCAGGGCTCTCTGGAAGAGGTACCAAAGCCTTGGGGGCTGGTGGGTGACCGAGCTGAGTGTCTCATAAGTCAGTGTTATGTACATCGAGTAAGTTTGCAACTACATCATGGTATTGAGCCTTTGGGAGCCACTGACAGTCCGAGTATATACATAGCAATTAATGTTAACCCTTTAGCTGGGTAAAAATGCCAAGAAGGTGAAGCTTGGAATACCATATATTTGAATGAGTACAACGACAATCAGTATTACAGTGACATCTCCTGTGTCAGTTTTCAAATCATCCCAGAATTTCACTTAATGCAGCCATTCTCCTGGGCGTCCTCTGTGGTTTCCTTGTACTTCAAGAGCTAACACCATCTTGCATACAACAAAGCGTGCCCTGCAGCACTGGAGGAGGCTGGGAAGTGCTGCACTCCCCCAGCCTCAGGGGAGCAGTTAAGAAGCATTGACAGAAACCAAAAGAGACTTGTCTGTACAGGAAGACTAGCCACAGTGACCCAACTCCAAATTCTGCTTTCACTGCTGTCTAGTGACAGTTTTCCTTCCTTTTGCAGAAAGTACCCATCATTCAGGAGAGTGGTAATCACAGTGTTATTTTCATTGTAGAAATCAGGTGGTGCCACAGCCATAGCAAAAGCAAAAGACTTCCCATAGTGTTGGAGCCAAGAGGAGAGGCAGCTAGAGAGTCTCTCACCATTGGACAGTTTACTTTTGCTTCCTAAATTGTTTCTATTGGAGATCTGCTGATAATTTTATCTACATAAAGCAATGGGATTGATTTAGCACTGCCACCATGCTGTTGGTCAGCTTGTGGTCAGTGTGAATCCAAGGGTTTAGTATGTCAGTATGAGAGGTTCAACAAGGCCAAGTGCCGGGTCCTGCACTTGGGTCACAACAACCCCATGCAGCGCTACAGGCTTGGGGAAGAGTGGCTGGAGAGCTGCCTGGCGGAAAAGTACCTGGGGGAGCTGGTTGACAGCCGGCTGAATATGAGCCAGCAGTGTGCCCAGGTGGCCAAGAAGGCCAACGGCATCCTGGCCTGCATCAGAAATAGCGTGGCCAGCAGGAACACAGAAGTGATCGTTGCCCTGTACTGGGCACTGGTGAGGCCGCACCTCGAGTACTGTGTTCAGTTTTGGGCCCCTCACTACAGGAAAGACATTGAGGTGCTGGAGCGTGTCCAGAGAAGGGCAACCAAGTTGGTGAGGGGCCTGGAGGACAAGTCTTATGAGGAGCGGCTGAGGGAGCTGGGGCTGTTTAGTCTGGAGAAAAGGAGGCTGAGGGGAGACCTTATCACTCTCTGCAACTACCTGAAAGGAGGTTGCAGTGAGGTGGGTGGGTGCTGGTCTCTTCTGTCAGGTGGCTGGAGACAGGACGAGAGGAAATGGCCTCAAGTTGCAGCAAGGGAGGTTTAGGTTGGATATTAGGAAAAACTTCTTTACTGAAAGGGTTGTCAGGTATTGGCACAGGCTGCCCAGGGAAGTGGTTGAATCACCATCCCTGGAGGTATTCAAAAAGCGAGTAGACGGGGTACTCCAGAACATGGTTTAGTGGGCATGGTTGATGGTTGGACTCGATGATCTTGAAGGTCTTTTCCAACCTAAATGATTCTATGATTCTATGAGAGTCGCAGCCTAAAGTCCTGCCCTTTGCAGGGGAAAAAGAACCAAATAAAATCAGCCACCAGACTAAAATTTGGGAGGAGGGGAGAAAAATGGTCAGACGGTTTTCTTTTCAATTCGTGTCTCTCACACAGTTGCTGCCCTCCTTTGATATTTGTGCGTGGACCGAAGAAGATGTGGTGAGTATTTTGTGTTAATGTGGCCAGCATTGCGCTGCTGGAGCTCTCTAACAAATTACAGTGGGTACAGAGGGAGGGAGAACCAGATCAGAACATCTAGGTGAAATTTTACTGCTATTTGGTGAAACTTGTGTCCCAGAAAGGCTTTAAAATGGCCACAAGTAAATTAAGGACTCAAGCGACCTTCATAAAACAGCCGTGTTGTCCAATGTCCAGAAAATAATTTGTGCTGGGAGCTGCCAGCAGCCAGGAGGGCATTCCTGAGTGATCATTTAAGGAATGTGGAAGTGCCCCAAGACCTATCTGAGCAAGACCTGTCCTGGACAGGACAAAATGGGTTTGAAGGTTTTATCCCACTGTGTGCCACCAGGATGGCAATAAACTGAAAGAAAGTTAAGGGATTTTTAAGGGGTGTGGAATCTCTCTTCAGTATAAAACAATGGCATTGAGTCTTTTTTACCTTTTTATTCAGTTAAGAGGTTAAACAAGAAACATCAATGATTTATCTCTAGCATAGTGATGTGTCATAGTGATTTTAATGTCCCATCTAGTACCCTCCTTGTGTGTTGTCCGTCATGGGGTTGTTCAGCTAACGTTTACTGAAGGACTGTCTGGAAAGCCAGTGCAAAAGCCGTAATAGCCCTGGCTCCTTAACTTCAGCCCTTTTAGCATGTGACAGGTAGCTAAGCTTCTGCTTCAGTCATTTCTGTTGTTCTTCATAATGACAAACTGAGGGAGGTGGCTGCAAAATAGAAGGCAGTTTAAAAAAGCTAAATAAAAGTAATCACTTACTATTGGTGAATCTTGAGTCCTTTAATCCAAAGTTAGAAATATTTTAAAATTTTGTTTTAAAATGGAATGATTACTTGCAAACTCCAAATAACTGTAATAGAAAATTTTGACAATGTGAACTTCAAGACTGATTCCTCTTTTTTGCAGTTTTTCTGGATGCAACAACTTACTAGAAAAGGTAAAAGCTATTCATATGTACCTTCATATTCACATTTATTAATATATATACATTTGCTCATCTTCTCCCTCCAATAAAGCACCCTATGGATTTCTGAATAACCTCTTTTATCTTAAGGCGATGCTTCTGGTGAAATGAGTGTATATGCTAGCTTGTTTAAGGACCATCATATCACTGGGAAACGATTGCTTCTTCTAGAAGAAGAGGATTTAAAGGACATGGGAATTGTTTCCAGAGGACACATCATCCATTTAAAGGTATTTTAACAGCACATGTTGAATGTTGCAATAGGTTATAGTGTAAATGTTAAGGAGTCTATGGGTTTTCAGTAGTATTAACAACAAAAGAAGTTATAAAGCTAAATAGAGAACATACTTGGTATAAAAAAACCCTAGAGTTGCAAGTTCATATGGATCTAGAACCCAAAGCAACCTGAGCATTTTATGAGGCATGAAAATGTGCTGTGGTCTTTATACTCCTCTGCAGTTCTTCATTTTCTTTTAGGCTGGACTGTCAGTACTGCTAAAGATTTGCCTAGGAGGGCCATTCTCCCAGCCAAAAGCTTTGGGTATCTTCATAGAAAGTTCTCCCTAAAGATTTCTTTTTAGCTGAGGAGGGAGCAGATATGAAAATAGTTATTTGAACTGAAATCTCAAAAATTCTCAACTTTCACATCTCATCTATAGCTTAAAACATACTTTGACTAACAAAACTCCATTAGACAACTTCAAGGCTGGTTGACGGCCAGGTTGCTTTGCCCTTAAAGCTTTGTTTCATGGAGTTTTATATATCTAATGTTTGTAATGAGTTAAGAAAATCATGGTCTGGACCATGACAGCAGTAAATAGTATTAATATTGCAGCCACAGGAGAGAGTTCAGTTTCCTGGCAGTCAGTTTTGGAAAAGGATTTCTCTAAAAGCAGCATGTATAATTCTGTTAGGTCTCAATGATTTTATACCATAATCTGCTAGTAAAGAGCTACTTGTATCCTAATTGCTAGTCCTGCAACTTTAGCTTCATAAGTCACACAGATTTATTCCCCTTTTGCTCATCAGCCATTTTTTTCCATGCCACACACCATTACTGATATGTTTCATTTACGTTTCCTACAGGGAAAATTACTGAAACTTAATAAAGTCAATAATGCCCAAAATGAAAGATTTCAGCTTCCTGGGTTGATTGAGCATAAATAAAAACAACCAAAACAACCCCCCAAACATTTCTTTCTCTGATTAGGCAGATCTGATTCTGAATGCGAAATGGGGCCGATCTACCACAACAGTTTCCACAACAGGGCTGTATTTTAAACTCTTCTCACATGCCCTAATGTATCCACAATGGAAAACACAGTGCATACGGAGTTGCGCTGTTTTTCATGCTGGTATTTGCGGTATGAGATACTGAATAACTCTCATCTGATTTTGTTGATTTTTTTTTTCTAGACTGCTATTGAGAAGTTAACCCATGACTACCTAAATCTGTTTCATTTTCCACCATTAATTAAGGCAAGTCTCATTGTTTATATAAGAAGTGCTTCTCGTGTTGGTATGAATATTTTACTGTTCTCGCGTCTCAACTTCCCTACTGTTCGTGGGAGGGCAAAGCAGCAGTTCCTGCAGAGGCTTGTGACAAATGCAGAGGGTCAACAGCAGCAATGGGTCACATCAGAAGAAGTAATAGGATAATAAAAGTTGTTTTCAAGGAGGCTCTAAGATTTTATCGTGGAATCGGTAGCATTAAATTAAAAGACTACTGGTTTCAATTCCTTTGCTGTCATTAATCAGAAATTACTCTTAAGAGCCATTCCTCCCAACTGGTGCCACCGACTGCTCACCACTGCTCACCACTGAAGAACAGCAGAGCCCTGGCCCAGAATGAGCCCATCATTCCTCAGCTCGTTAATGTTACAGGAGAGAAGGATGATTTATAATGTCTGGTCACCCTTGTGTTAACCTATTGGTTTTCTGATATCAGTAATGAGAGCCATATAAAAGGGAGAGAGTGTTTGGGAACCTCAGGGCTGCCAGAGCAGATATTTGCCTGATTTAATTCGGTGAGCTAATCAAGCAGTTCTAGACTCCAAACCCTGAAGTAGCTTTTTTAGTCATAATTTATTGCACAGCTATAGAGTGAAATCCACTTGAAGTGAATTTACACACAGCGAAACCCTGTTCCCCGAAGGCGAAAATGAAAGTTGGGGCTTCGCTGCCGTGCCACCTGCAATTCCAATAGCAGTGGCTGCCAGGATGCTTGCAGCGGCACTGTGCCGCACCGGAGCGGCTCGGCCAGGAGCAGAAATTGCACAGCATCTCCCAGGTGCCATCTGTGGCACGCCGAAAACCCGTGCAGAAGCCCTGGCCCCTCTTGGAGCAGCGTGATGGGGGCAGAGTGGTGGGTCCTTCCTGCTGCCTGCCAGACTTGTAGCATCTGAAAGGCAAATCCTTTCTGCCACCAAAGGCCTTGCTCCTGTCTCCCAGGGGGTTGTGGTAGATGTGAATTCTCGCCTTGCCTTTTTTTGGCAGGATTCTGCAGGTGGAGCTGAGGAAAACATAGAGAAAGTAGTGAATCTTGAACTCGTTTTTGGTTATCACTTGAAGCCGGGAAATGGTCCAAAGGTAAGCTGGGAGCGCTGGATCGGTTGGTTTGGTTAACAGTCACTACCCAGAGGGTCCAGTATCTTCTGGACACAAAAAGATAATTTTCTGTGAGAATCCTCTTGTTTTGGAAAGTGCTGACCAAATGTCAAGGTGGCAAATGGGGCTGCATCGGTGATGGGGAGCTGTACCCCAGAGCAGGCGAGGAAGAAAAGAGTGGCACAGAAAGTTTTGACTGAAAGCTTTTGTTTCCTCGTGAACAATTTTTTTAACTGTAATTTTTGTCATTTGGGCTTTTGCTTTGTTCCTTTCATTCCAATGGGTGTGAAATAACAATCCATTTATGCAAAAAACCCCACTCACAGTTGAGCAGTGCCGTACTCCTGATGTTAGTGGACAGGCTATTACTTTTGTCTTAGCAGAAAGTTGGTGTCTTTCTGTGCAACCAAGAGCAGTTTGGAAAATACATGGTATGCATGGCTGCTGGCTGGGGAGGACAGGACTGGCCCTGGTGGTGACTATGTTCACTCACGGTAGTGGGGAAGGAGGGAGGGGTAGGTGCAGCACGTTGCAGATGGCAAAACTACTGTGCAGCGGCTGGTAAAAGGCAATTACCAGCATGCCACATCCTAATCAAACCTCAGCTCCAAGCCGAGCTGGTTCAAGGATCTCTCGTTACACCCTGTGTAACAGGAGCATTGATGACTCCAGATGTTCCAGCAAAGCATTTCCACCATGTTGTCTTTTCTCGAGAGTGAGGTTTGTCCCATGCTTTTTGTTTTCTTTATCCAGCCTGCCATGGGCTCTGAGTTCAAGGGGTTTAGAATTAATCATCTATGTGGAAATGGTGTGCAAAGCATTTCTGAGTTGGAGTCAGGGGTTGTGACAGCAGGATTTGTTTCCTTTTGTATTTGACAAATCTGCATTGTGTGTCCACCCTAAACTTGTGGGTGGCTGACTTTCATCTTGTGTTATCTGGCAGCTTTGCTTTCACGGCATATTGTTTGCAGAAGTCTCTTGATTTCTGTACTTGGTGGTGCTTGCAGGGAAAGCGTTTAGGTTTGTACTTAGTAGGAACTTGGACTCGTACTGAAATCATTTCATCAATTTGAAAAAGCTTTCTGCTTTTTGTCTGGAGATTTCCTTTTTTTGTTTGTTTCTTTTATCCTAAGCACTTTTTTTTTCTATGATAGTCTTTATCACTATGCGAATTACTTTGTATCAGTGTTCTTGAATGCATGTAGCTTATGATGCTGTACAGCTGCTTTTTTGTAGGTGTGCATCTTTCTCTCCTATGTGCAACTTTACAAGGAACTGAAAGTCCATGAAATAGCTCTTATCTCCCTTCCATTTTCAATATGGGTTGTGAGCTGTAGTGTAAGGAGGTGGGCAACCTCCCCCAGGAAAGTGCAAGAGAAGGAGCGAATAGACCTCTGAGTGCTGGAGAGAAATTCGGGTTGCACTAACGCCTACTAAGTTTGAGGACAAGTAGGTATTTTAGCTTTGATGGCAAAATTTGCAAATGAGACAGTGTGCCAAAGTCTACGGGACAGAAGCTGAATGGTTACAAGAGGACAGGGCTAGTTCAGTGGGCCTGCGTAGTGCCAACATAACCTTTGCAGGTTTCTGATGTGCCAACTGAGAATCCTTTTTTCGGTCCTGCCTTCCCCATGACCTCCTAATGGGTCCTCTCTGCTCTGTGTGCTGTCGGGCCCCTTCCTAAGGAAGCCATTCCCTCTGCAGCCGTGGGCGCATGCCGGGCATGCCTTCCCTGGCATCCGCCCCACCACAGCGCCCGTGTCCCTGATGACATTCTGGGGAATGCGCAATTTGTCACCTGAGTTTCTCTGGGCTGGAAACTTCCGTCCGAGATCTGCTTATTAACTCATACCTGCCTTTAAAGATGTGGCAGCTAAGCTGGTTTTAGAGAGTGGACTGGAAGGAGTAGATCAACTGAGCTTTCAGGCAGGATGCTAGGGCCAATGTGAGCAAGGTAATTTGCATTAAACATAACACTGACAAAGACTGGTGTGGTACATACAATATAGAAAATTTGGCTAGCTTGCTGCTTTGAAAAACCCTGGATACAATCTTTTAGCTCCCCTAGAGGCTGCTTTAAGCCAGCTACTGGTGCCAGCCAGATTTGTTCCAAAATGAATTGGAGATACTGGGCAAACCAGGATTGAAGGGTTTAAACTTCTTTTACTGTCCCATTTTTGTAAAAGAGTGGTGCCTGTTCCTGTAAAACTGGGTCAGCAGAAGCATTTGGGATCATACCTTCCACCATCTTTATAGCTAAAAAGCTGGCCTACATCAGTTTAAAAATAAATTTCTCAAAGGAACTTTACCCTAATCAGTCCCTATAACTGGCTGCCTAGCTAAGAAGCATTTCTCCTGTTTTAGCCATGAGGAGAAAGAGGCAATAAGCTCAAATCTGGGTTACGAGTTGAGAACGTGTGTTCCCTGGGTGATGGGTAGACTGCTAGACCTATGTACATCAAGGGAGGTTATTAGGCTCAGCTGGGAGCTGGTGCAGCGCAGCAAGAAGGGCTCTCTACAAGGGAACAGGTCATGCTGGGAGGTTTTACCCCAGGCTGGCTCAGTGCTGGTCTCCTGGGCAGAGTTCCCATTAGTTATTGTAGTGCATCTTCTGGTGTCGTTGCACGTGGAAGCAAGCCAGTCCATGCACTTGGAGGTGGCTCTGCCAAAGCGTGGGACAGGACGGACATGTGGGACAAAAGCACGCTCCTGATCCGAACTAAAGCTCTGGTCTGGGCGCAGCCTCAGCGTGCAGCGTGACATGCCGCAATGCCACAGGGCATAAAAGTGCTGGATGAGCTAGTCCACGACGCAGAAACCATTTGAGGGGTGCAGGTTCATTCAGATGCGTTTGACTGGTCAGAGCACAGCACCCTCTCAGGTGTGAAGATGGTTCCTCGGGGCACAGGTGTCCTCTCCCTGGCACTGCACCGAGCCCCGTTGGCACAGCCAGTGCAGCTTCTCTGTAAGCAGGCAGAAACTTAAGGGTCTTGGGAATGGCAGTGCCTTTTAGCAAGGATCCTGATGAATATATTTCAGGATGGCATTCGAATGTTCAGCCTTGTCTGTACACTGAAGGAAACATTGACTTCCCAGCATGCAACTTTACCAGCCTCAGATTTGTTATCTAATTTAAACTGCATCTTCTAGTGGGATTATGTTGGTTTCCACCAGCTGACAGATGCAGTCATTTCATTAAAGTTTCCTTCCCTTTTTAGCTGCATCTTTGGAGGTGATGAAAGCTCAGTTGACCTTTGTGCTCTCTGAATGCATCAGGAGTGAGAGCTGCAAAGCTAACCTGGTTTTTAGAGGTTTCTTTCCAACTCTTGTAGTTTGAGTTATGTGGTTACTTCCATTCACTTCCTTTTAATGACCTTTCTGTACACAATTCCCACTGAGCTGAAAGGTGATAGATTTAGACATTTTATATGAATTTTTTCCACAAATTAAAAAAAAGGGGGGGGGGGGACACGACACGCCAATTAACTCCAAGATACCAAAGAGGGTAAAAAAACAAACCCTGGCAATTGTGGCTTGAGCTGATTCACAGAACTGCAGAGGGAATTTTCAATGGCTTTCTCATCCTAGGTGGCTCATTAAAATTTCCCAATCAGGGAAAGGTGTCTGAGCTGTGTCGGCTCCGCACTGATGAATCACCTAACCCCTTAAGAAGGATGGTTCACAGCCTTTTTGTCTCCTGTTGATGCATTCTTTAGTTTTGGTCCTCAAAAGGGCAGATTTCACCATGCCTTTGAATGTTTTCATTTTTTACCGTGTGGCACAATCTGACCTATATCCAAACACAAAGCCTTGAAGTTGGCTCACCATTTTGCCTTATTTTTCCCCAGTTAACCTCTCCCTCCATTTGACAAGGTAAGGAGCAGAGGCTCTTCAAAACCTTCTGCTAACTGTGTGAACTATTTTCTAGCCTTGAATATCCAAACTGGGATATATTTTAATGCTACTATTTAAATGTGTAGTGCAAAAGTGAATATAATATTAAGGCTACTTTAGAGAGACATTGCGACCAACTCTTCCTGTGGAGAAACCCAGGCTGGCAAAATGCAGGCAGTATCAGACAAAACAGTACTGAAATAGTTGTTGTAACTGGAATGCAGTTGAGGTTGAGACCGTTTCTGTTGCTTCTTCCTCTCCACCCTCCCACTACATCAACACTCATAAAACCTTTCTTTACCTTCTTAAAAATAATTCCTAGTTCAGACAGACATCATATATCATCACCAGTTTAATTTGCCATGTAAGGTACTCCTCACATTACAAATGTGGGGAAAAATAAAAGCAAGGGCCAATGTCTAAAATGTAAAATTCCAGTTTTGTAGTTTTTCAGTCACATATATTCCCCACACTGTGTAGGTATTTTAACCCACTTCGGTAAGTGAAGCCAGCAGAAGAATTGGCTTTATCTGATCCTTCCTTTGCAAGATACTTTCAAGGACCTTGACTTTCTAATGTGGAGTTATTTAACCTTATCTCAAAACCTCATCTTCTAAAGCCTCTCGCTTTAATTACATCTCAAAGCACAATGCTTTCACTACTAAGGGCTAATAGTTAGTGCAAGAATCAGAGTAGCTGTGTTTGTGTGCCATTTTCATAGATTTGCTCCTATAAGTAGTCAGTAAAGGGGTAAATACTTTGTGAAGGAAAAACAGAAAATCACCTAAGCTGTAAAATAAAACCACAGCCACATTTAAATATAACCAGCACGATTAAGAACTGGTTAATGCAGTCTGCCAAGGAGGTGGATCAGTGGTAGGGTGTTAAGACGTTTAGTGCAGGTGATCTGAGCTCCTTGTATTTTCTTTCAAAAAGGCTTTTCTGGACCACATATTGTTTTCACACGAGGTGGAGTTGGTATAACTCCGTCACCTCCACTGGGATTGTTCCAGCTGTAGCGTCCAAGTGTAACTGAGGTCAAACTCAAGCCAACACCTTTTAAAATCCTTGCGTAGGCAGTGCTGAGC